ACATGTTTCTAAATCCATTCACTTTTCCTTGCCTCAGTTTCCAGTCATCAATGGACAAGTTAGTAAAGCTTATTAAGCTTTAGGACACTTTTATAACTAACTCCTGTTAGGATTAAACTTATCTTTTCATTCTGTTTCCTGAAGCTTTTGTTATAGTTATGTAAAAACTTCAAAAACTTCTTTAGAAGTTTAGATTAGGAATTTATCTTGGACTTGAAACTTATCACTGCAATGTTTATCTGAATTTCTTTGATCTAACATCAGACTGAATTTGTAAAGAGAAGCAACAGCCTTCTCTTTACAAATATTGCTTCTAGTAGGATCAAAAGTTCAGTGGAAATCGAGTTTTCTCAAAGGATTTAGAAAGGATTTCTTCTAGGCTAGGTTAGAGAGCTATGTGATATCAAAAGGAAGGGAAACATGTTATTTGAGCCATTCAGAAACTCTAAGGAGAAACTTTTCAGCTCAAAATCTACGTCAAAGTTCTAGAAAAAAAATCAAATAATTAATTTTTTAAAAACATGGATGTGCTTGCTTTATTTAACTTAATAATTAAAAGGAAGCCTTCATCATTTCAAAACTGCATAATGCCTACTAAAGATATTAATTAATATGAAAATTAAAACAAATATTAATGAAACTAAAAAATGTAATGTTGTACTCTACCACTCAGAGGCCTGCTGTCTACCCCAGTGGACTTCTTCCAGATCTTCTAATCTGCACATACACATGCATCACAATTTTACCCAAATGAGCTATATGATCAACAACGTTTTAAAGCAAACAGTGTACATTTTTGCATAAAATTTTTTTCCTCAGTTTTCTGAAAAGTGAAAGTTGTTTCATCCAAGTTAGATCCAAATCCAAGGCTATGCGTTGAGTTTGGTAGTGATGGCCCTTAAGTCTCCTTTCATTTGGCACAGTCCACCTCTTACCCCTCTTTCTTTGTTCATAACATGAACTTACTGAAAAAATCCATAAACTGATTGTCCTGAAGGAAAATATTCAACTTGTCAATTTGTCTCCTTGTATCATTTTGTCTTTCTCATTTAATCTTCTAGTGTCATATGAATACTATCATTATAAGTTGATTTCTCATATAATAAAGTGCTTACTTTATCTATCTATATGAAATACATGAAACTTGTATAACTTAAATAAAATTTTTAGAAAATAAAATAAATAGAGTCATTTGGTCACCTGACCTATAGATCCTACCAAAAATTTAAAAAAACAATTTTCAAAATAATAATATAAATTTTAATTACTTTTTCTGGTATTTTCTTTTCTGAGTTTCATGAACCTGTGTATTTCATTGATTGAATGCATTCTCTTCTGAAATAGGATGCCTGGGTCTGTTTAAATTGTTCTCATCAGTCTTTGAATATTTGTCTTTTGGCAGTTTGTACCTTCCAGTGTCCCTTGTGCCACCATTCTTCCAGGGAGTCAGTAATTTACTCATAAATAACTGGATGAGGTTAGAGTCTTGGGAGCACTGATGAGATGGCAATTTTGGTGTTAAATCAACAGAAAGTTAAAAATAATTTCTGTCAATTTCTATTGACTAAACAGACTTCAGGTGTAAAACAGCTAACCTACTACTGGAAATGTAAAGCCCATCCCTCAGAATAATCCTTCCATATCTGCACACGAAAAATTCAGGACAAGTATTAATTAAATGAATTGTAGGAGGTTTTTCTCAAAATTATGAAAGTCTATTTAAATAGATTGTAAATATGCATCCAGATCTGATTTAAGCTCAGATCTGGACTTCCTCTCACTGAAATACTGAATCTAGACTCCCACAGCTAAATGTTCAAGCCCATCTGTCACTAGCAACATTCCTATAATATTTGAATTGATTTAATGGAAGCAACTGGGTGATGATACAGCCAGCTGGATGTGGTGCATACTAGACAAAGTAAATTCTTTGTAAGAAGTAACTGTCCACCACAAGTGACTTATCTGAACAATTCCTTCAATTCTATAAGTTTATCAATGCTGTCAGCAGATCCCAATGGCCGGAGCTGCACCAATCCGAAGCCAGGAGCCTCTTCCGGGTCTCTCACGTGGGTGCAGAGGCCCAAGGACTTGGGCCATCTTCTATTGCTATCCCAGGCCATAGCAGAGAGCTGGATCAGAAGAGGAGCAGCCAGGACTAGAATTGGCGCCCATATGGGATGCCGGTGCTTTAGGTCAGGGCGTTAACCCGGTGCACCACAGCACCGGCCCCTCCAATCTTTCTATGGATGTGAGTAAGGCGTTCTGTATCTGTCACTGATCTGACATGATTTGCCTACCTGCTGAAACCTTAGTCTGTCTGCTGGTTAGGTCGCCGTTACTTGTCTGTTACTGCCTCTCCTGGATCACAGGTTCAATTGGAGTATTATGCTTGATCTACGCCTTTCCTCCTTCATCTTGAGCTGATCTTAAGTTCAGATCTGATATTCCAAATACCTGACCCAAAAACAACATACTATTACTCATTTTTTTGTTTAAATATCCTATTTTTTCATGATCCCAAGGTTTTGGTTTTTGTTTTTTGTTTTTTTTTGTTTTTTTTTTTTTTTTTTACAGGCAGAGTGGGCAGTGAGAGAGAGAGACAGAGAGAAAGGTCTTCCTTTGCCATTGGTTCACCCTCCAATGGCCGCTGCGGTCGGCAGGCTGCGGCTGGCGCACCGCGCTAATGTGACAGCAGGAGCCAGGTACTTATCCTGGTCTCCCATGGGGTGCAGGGCCCAAGGACTTGGGCCATCCTCCACTGCACTCCCTGGCCACAGCAGAGAGCTGGCCTGGAAGAGGGGCAACCGGGACAGAATACGGCGCCCCGACCGGGACTAGAATCCGGTGTACTGGCACCGCAAGGTGGAGGATTAGCCTAGTGAGCCGTGGCGCCGGCCCCCAAGGTCTTTCTTGACTACTGGTTCTAAACATCCACAATCTGATGCCCACTTCTAATGCCCAAACCCACAATTTGGTAACTTCAGTGATCTTTACACATGAGAATAATTCTTACCTGGCTTCAAGAAGATCTCACTGTATGTTATGTTTTTATTTATTTATTTTTTTAATTTGACAGGTAGAGTTATAGACAGTGAGAGAGAGAGAGACAAAGAGAAAGGTCTCCCTTCCATTGGTTCACCCCCCAAATGGCCGCTACAACTGGAGCTATGCCGATCCGAAGCCAGGAGCCAATTGCGTCCTCCTGGTCTCCCATGCGGGTGCAGGGGCCCAAGCACTTGGGCCATCCTCCACTGCCCTCCCAGGCCACAGCAGAGAGCTGAACTGGAAGAGGAGCAACCGGGACTAGAACCCGGCGTCCATATGGGATGCGGGCCCTGCAGGTGGAGGATTAACCAAGTGAGCCACAGCACCAGTGCCTGTATTTTATATTTATCCCAATAATGATAAAATGTATATTGTATATATCTACTTTGTCCTTTGAAAGTAGGTCTCCTTATTGACTATTGTGAGAATTTTAAAGAAGCAATGGGTTAGGTTGTCTTTGTTAAAAGCTAAATGGGCTACATAGGTATAACATTTGGTCTATTAACATTATAACTCATCTTTCTGGACTCTTAGCACACATTAGAATTACTCAAAGAGCTCTTGATTTTATGTTGGTGTTGTTTTCTTAAACATCATGGCCTTGGCTCCACCCAGAGAGAATTTTATTCAATTGATCTAGTATTTGAACTGGACAATTCTATATTTTAAATTTTCTCTGGGTATTCTAACATGTATCACAATTAAGAACCAAAAACATAAAAATAGGCACAAATGGGATCAAACCATCAAAGCAAAACACACAAAAATACATTGGACCACTGAGAGTGGACCTAATGAATTCTGAGTTAATGGACCATTCTTGGTAGGATTTTTGCATCATAGTATTCTAAGGGGAAGACCCTCTTAGAAAAATGAAAGAGGCAGCCAAATGATGCTAATATAGGAATATATAATATGTTCTAGAAATGAAATGTAGATTGATATGACAAGAAGTCCCTCTGACACACAGACATATGCATTTGGAAAGAAATCTTTGTTTTGGCGTAACAAGCTCCCTCAGATAGTTTATGGAATCATCACTGAAATGATAAATAACATGGAGTGCATCTAGAATAGACGTTGCTCATTATGGTGGAAAGTAAAATAAAAACAATCAGTCTTGCTGCCAATAAAATCAAGAAGATACCAGAGAAGGCCTGGATTGGTGTATTGATAAGCACTCAGGAATCAGTAGCAATGGATAGGGATGAACCATGGAAGGATGAGTAACAGAACACTAGCCTGTATATGAAATTGTTTCTATATGAATATTGTGCTCATATTGGATGGCACATCTAGTTCCAGCTTTCTAGAAAATTCAACATTAAAATGGGATTGCTCCCATATAGTTGTACTTGTAAGTACACATAGATACACTATACCTTCTCAATATCATCCCGCCTCCTGAAGGTGTTGTCTCCATAGTTCATTCCAGCCCTCCCTTAACTTCTAACTGTAAAATAATTGAGATAATTTCTCTCTGAATATTTTAAAGAAACCTAAGAATATAATGAGAGGAATTATTGTATTCATTGTTGTCATATACAATCAAGAAATTATTTGGAGTTAGAAATTTAGAGTTAGAAATTTACAGTTAGAAATTATTTAGAGTGAAATTTAGAGTAAATTCCTTCTCTCCCTTTTTCTTTGTATCATCATATCATCATTGTGATCATCATTATTCCTAAATGATTTTGAATAAACAAGGAAGAAGATAATAATTGTTGCCTTCTGGAAGTTCTTCATGAAGAAACATGCACCTTTTTAGAGGCTCCAAGGAGTTGCTTCTCACTCTCTTATCAAGAATGAAGATTCTAGGAGACACAAGGGTCCACTGTGCTCTCTGGGGGTGACCATGTAAAGATAGATGAGGATAGTGGCACAGGTAGCTTGCTGAATCCACAGAGAATGAGATATGGGGAACAGTGCCGGAATACAGCTACATAACTTACCTTCTTTACTTTTCGGCTGTCTTCCAGAGAGACACAAAAGCTTAGGGAAGACTCCTTGTCCAAAGGGACAGAATTCATCCATTCCATTGATGCAAACATTGATAAAACATGTAGTTTAAAAAGAAAAAATGTGAACATCTTAGATAATGTAATTGTTTCTCAGAAAAGACAAGTAAACATAAATCTATCCACTAAAAAATAAGCACTCCACATAATCTGTCACTATTAGCTTAGCTAATGATACAAAAATTAATTTTATTTATTGAGTTTTCCTTTTATTGTGTTAAACATGTGACTTGCATATTACAATAAAACCCAAACCATTCATAAAAGTATGAGGTGGAATGGGTTTATGTTGTAACTAGACTATTATTCTGTTGCATTATACACAAGGTCTTTGCCAAATTGCCAACTAACTGTCCAGATGCCCAGTTATTAATACATGGATGAGCTAATATAGCTCCGCAGATGATGGTAAAGGGAAGGATTCACCTTGTATTAGCTTTGACTCATCACAATAAATTTAAAATGCTACCAGAAATAGTTGTCCTCTTTTTGTAAATGACCTACATACCATAATTTAAAACATTTGCATGTCCAACTGCCTTTGTGGAGGGCATTACATTTGCCTAAATGATCTATCTGTTGAAGGAAGAATGCCCTACAAGGACAGAGAAGCAATGTTGAACCCTGGTGACATCATAAAGAGAGAGCCACACTCAGCAGTGATATTTTACCTATCTACACCAAGACACATTAACAATGAAATCAAATCTTGAGGTAATTGTTGTCAACAGGAATATTCTTTAATTCTGTTCCAACCAATATTTCTCATTCTTAAATCTTTACATTACATGAACTGCCTTTGCCGTGCTTTCCTATATATTGAAATATGTTTTATATCTATCTCAGTCATTCATTCAACAACGTTGATTCATAAATAAATATGTGATATCTGTTTTAGTGTGAGACAGCCCAGAGTGAGAGTCTTGACACAATTGCCTTATTAAGGTGTAAATCTGAACACATATTCCAACCTTTTAAAGACTAGGTTTCCATTTTTGCAATGTGGTGATAACAATTGGTTATGTCACATGGATATGGTACACAAGTGAGACAACAATGCAAACACCTGTTGTGGTATCAGAATTTTGTGATATATAGGAAATGTGCTACATAATGGGGCCACACTGAAGAATAAGTACACTACTACATCTCAAAGAACCCAAAGTCCTATCGGGAAGTTACATATGAGGCAACACGTAAAGCATAGCCCATATACTTAATAACCTCCCCATGCAGAAAATCCTCTGAGCTACAGTGGAAGAATTTTCCATTTCAGTTTTAATAAAACCATTTTCAAATATTCATTTTATTATTATCTCTGTTTGGAAGATCCTCTGTAGGAAAGTACTTACAATTCAATTCCCCTGATTCTTTTTTCTTATGATAATGTTGCTTACATTTTCATGTATTGAAGTTTTTGTTAACCACACTATAGGAAATCCTCTCAAGACACTGATACTGCAATAGACAGAATGGAGTGTATGAGGGAACTTCAAAAATGTTGTGGAAATATGAATACATCTCAACATGTTTTGCCAAAATAAGCTTATCTTTTAATTCAATTTTTCATTAATTTTTAGAACTTTATATTTAAGTGCCAAATAATAATTGTACGTATTTATGGAGTATAATGTGATGTTTTGATCTCTATACAGTATACATTACAGAAACACTTAATCAAGCTAATTAACATTTCCATCATTTCATAGCATTTTTGAAAACACATTTGTTAAACTCAAAAGGAACATTAATTTAATTACTCAAGTATAAACCAAATATTGATAGAATTTCTTAAGTGCAAATAAACATTAATTTCTTAAGAGCAAATTAAATAGTGGTTATAATCTATATTAAAATTTGTCACCAGTAAAATCTTTCAAAGATTATGAAGATTTTTAATCATTTATGATTTTAAGAACCCAAGATGTCAATGTTTAGGTATTAGAAAAACACATTTTAATTTCTCTTCCTAGGAATTCCTTCAAAACAGTAAAATTCTAATATTTCCTGCAGTATATTAGCATATCAAATATGTTTAATAATTGTTCTTTAGTCTATTTTAAAATTTTTTCAACTAATGCTTGCTCCAACTTTTGAAGCACCTTTATACAGTGACAAATTCAGCTGAAAGTTAAAATTTTATGAGATCATAACAAATGAATGTCATAGGCCAGTAAGCACTACTGCAGAAAATACCTGCTTCTGACTTCAAATTTTAAGCTAAATTCCTATGGGCCGTGGCTCAACAAGCTAATCCTCCGCCTAGCGGCGCCGGCACACCAGGTTCTAGTCCCGGTCGGGGCACTGGATTCTGTCCCGGTTGCCCCTCTTCCAGGCCGGCTCTCTGCTATGGCCCGGGAGTGCAGTGGAGGATGGCCCAAGTCCTTGTGCCCTGCACCCCATGGGAGACCAGGAGAAGCACCTGGCTCCTGCCTTTGGATCAGCGCGGTGCGCCGGCCACGGCGGCCATTGGAGGGTGAACCAACAGCAAAGGAAGACCTTTCTCTCTGTCTCTCTCTCTCTCTCTCTCTCTCACTGTCCACTCTGCATGTCCAAAAAGTAAATAAATAAATAAAAAATTCCCATGGTCTTAGTATGTGTGTTTACAAGTTATTATGAAACTCCATTGTAAAAGAAACATATGGTCAAGATAAGCCAGGCAATGTCATGTTGTAGTAACAAACAACTCAAAATCTAAATGGCTTACAATAACACATGCTTGTTGTCCATAGGTGATTTCTGCCAGTATCATGAGTGTCATTTGAGTACTCAGGCTAATAAAGCTTCCATTGCTACCTCAACTGAAATTTCAAAGCAAACCATCATAAGGGAAGAGAACATGGAAAGTGATCACCAGTTCTTGAGCACACCGACTCAGAAGTGACACACTTCTTTAGCTCACACTTTATTAATCAAAGCAAGCCACAAGGCTTTCCTTTTTATTTTAATTCTTTGTTTATAGGTGGACAAATCTCGTGTATTTCTTGTATACAGATTTGAAAGCATAATCATTCTTTCCATCTTATACTCCCTCCCACCCACACTCCCACCCCCTCCTCTTCTCTTTCTTATTTTTCTTTTAATTTTTACAATGACGTATTTTCAGTTTATTTTATAATCAAAAGTTTAACCTGCCACCAAATAAAGAATTCAACAAATAGTAAGTAAAAAAAATCACTGTTCTTCAAGAATATAGATAAGGATGATAAAAATTGGTCAAATCTCAAAATGTCAATTTTGCTCATATATATCACATTTCTGTATTCTGTATATTAATTACCACAAATCAGGGAAAGCATATGATGTTTGTCTTCTTGGGACTGGCTTGTTTCACTAAGAATAATGGGTTCCAGTTGCATCCATTTTGTTGCAAAAGTCAGGATTTCTTTCTTTTTTTACAGCTAAGTAATACTAAATTGTATATATGTACATACATATATATATATATACACACACACTATATTTTATTTATCCATTCTCATTTCAATGGACATCTGGGTTTATTCCCTATCTTAGCTATTATGAATTGAGCTGTAACAAACACAGGGGTACAGACAAGTCTTTCCTATGATGATTTCATTTCATTTGGGTAAATTCCCTGGAGTGGCATGGCTGGGTCACATGGAAGATATATTTTCATATTTCTGAGGAATCTCCATACTGTCTTCCATAATGGCTATACTAATTTACATTCCTACCAACAATGTGTTAGGGTACCTGTTTCCACATATCTTTGCTAGCATTTGTTATTTTTGATTTTTGGATGATAGTCATTCTAACTGGGGGGAGGTGAAACTTCATTGTGGTTTTTATTTGCATTTCCCTAATGGCATTTTCCTGGGTATTCTTTCTTGTGTCTGTTGCCCACTTGAGTTGCATCTTTTGAAAAATATCTATTCATGTTCTTTGCCCATTTCTTGAGTGGATTGTTTGTTTTGTTGTTGTTGAATTTCTGAAGTTCTTAATAGATTCTGTATGTTATTCTTTTGTCAGTTGCATAGTTCAGTGGAATAATAGCAGAAAACTTCACTAATTTGGAGAAAGAAAGGGACATCCACATACAGGAAGCACATAAAACTTCCAATAGACATGGTCAGAAGACTATTCTAATGTCAAAGAGGTCAAAGTAGGCTTGGAAAGAGGCAAGAATCCTTCATGAACAACACTTATTAATGGCTACCATAGTCTACCTTCTATTTGCTCTCATTCCCACATAGAAATAATTGACACTCATCCCTTCTCCACAAGACACCTAAACTCCTATTTTGTAAATTATCAGGGTATTAAACGTGTTTGGTAGTGTCCTTATCAGTTAAGAATACAGTTGCTTTCCTGTCCCCTTTGAATAATTAGCAAGGATAAAACAAAAACAGTAGTCCTGCAGCAAATAATACCTTTGGAGAAAGAAAGATTCAGTTATGTGCAATAATTTCTAGAGCTATAAATCCATTACATTCATTGTTCATGACATTTATTAGGTATAAATTTCTAAGTTAGGACAGGTGAGGAGTTTTTTAAAATGTTATTTACTAAATTTAATTGTTTGAAGAGCAAAGACACAGAGAGACAGACAGAGATATCTCCCCTAGGCGCTGGTTCAATCAGCAAGTGCCAGGGTTGGTATAAGCCAAATCCAGAAGCTGGGAACCCAATCCAGGTCTGAGACAAGGGTGACAGAAACCTGAGCCATTACCTGCTGCCTTCCAGGTAGGATTCTAGCAGGAAGCTAGAATCAGGAATGGAACCTGGACTCAAACCCAGGTACTCTGATAAAGGATTCTAGGATCTAAAACTCTAATTTCCAAATTGTATCAAAATCCAAAATTTTTAAGCACCTACATGAGAAGGCATTATAGAAACATAGTTAAACAACTGACCAAAACAAAACAAAATACCCTTGGTTGAAACAGTAAAATATCTTAATAGATGATAGGAGAAAGAAAAAAGACAACTGACTAAATTATTAAAGGCCTGAAACACACAACCACTCTTTAATCTTGGTCAGAGTCTTTCACACTTTGAAAAAGAACTCCCATTGCTGTAGAAATGGACTTTGATCCATCACAAAACTTTACTATAAGGAAAAAAGACTAACAGCATCACCCAAAAGCATGCTAGCAATGCTGTCCCAGGCCTGAGTCAAGATCTACATTTTAAAAGATGCCCAGATGTCTTGCATGCATATTGAAGTTTGAGGAATGCTACATCTGAAAATTCTAAAGTTCTCTATATCCTGCATCATTGAAGAGAGCCCACCTCAACAAAATTCTACAGTCTTCGCACAAATGAATGGACGTGAAGAAATTCAAGATAATTTTTCCTGGTCAATTTTGAAGTCATAGGATCTGTAAGAAGATAGGCAGTTTGTCAACTGGTGCCCCTAACTCCAGAAGCATATAAGTTAATGAATGATCTATTGGCCTTCCAAAAACTTTCCAAATGCAGACTTGTCCTGCAAGGCCTGCACTGTCTGGATGGTGGGGTGATGAAAGCATTCTTCAGCAATAAGCACTGGAGACAAGTTTCAGTGAACATGTCCGTAAATTAACAATCAACAGCAAGATTTTAAAGGGCAGAAAGGGGGTATAGCTAGTTCAGGCAATACTAATTCTATAGGATAAAGCTGATATTGGTGCCACTATGTTCTCCAATCAGCGTGACCTACGTAGCCTATGTAGACTTCCAGGTCATCCTTATGGGTCTGGGTCTCACCCAGGAGCCATTTACCTGCTGGACAATTACAAGGCCCATCATCAGGAAGCGGAGGTGGAGGAAATGTGCCTGGGGCTCCTGCCGCCTGCCAGCATTCAGGTCATGTGTGGCTCTCAGTGTGCCTGAGTCCTCAACCAGGGTCTTTTCCAGGAGGCATGGTGTACCATGCCCTCTTAACCTCCTGAATGGGCTAGGCAGGCATAGGGTCACTCAGATCCAAAGAAGACAAACACCTTTCAAAACAGCAAGTTTACAAGACTTTGGAAGGACCTGTGTGTTTAGCACCTACAGGCATGTGTCAGATGCTCCAAATTGGGGCAGCACATATGTTATATGTGCCATGGAGGAGACATAATACTCTGCTTCTCTGAAAACCAGGGAGAAAAAACCTGAGCCAAGGAGGGAAGCGAGATCCCCTTCTTGGTGTAGGGACTCCAAGATAGGAAATGCTTCAATCTCTTCTGGCAACCTGTGAGGCTAAGCAGAAGGAGGGCAGCAAGTGTGCCCTCCTTGCTCTGTCAACACAGCCACAAGAAATGTCACTTTTCTACTTTGAACCCTCCCTGGGAAGACAAACCCAAACCCCTACCATGCACTACACAGTGCTGTACGGCTGACCCTGGCAGGCTCCATTACATTCATGTTCCCTCTCTCTTTCCTGTGCTCCTGACATGTGAAGTGCCAAGCATGCACAGGATTCTGGCTTTAAAAACAATGCTTATTTATTTATTTTCATCTACTTGAAA